GTCCTTCTACTTGTTAGGAGGCTAAGCGGGATGAGACTCAAGTGAAGGAAGCAACTGACCAAGGATCGAATTTGGGAGGGGGTAATAACACAGATATGCAGGGTAGGCCAGAGAAGAAGGCCCTAAAAGAGACCACCAGTGCAGCTCCGGTAGAGGCTAGCCTGTATGGCAAACTGCAGATTTTACGCCTGGATTTAGCGGTGGACCTATTAAAAGTGATAGTAAGGGATTTGGATCCAGCACAGAAATCAAGGGATTCGAAATAAATACAGGGAAGAATAAGGGGGGATCAAGTTGAAGGAGGATAAGAAGAGGGAGTCAGTGTCAATAGTTTCACGTAAGGTAAATGATAGGAAGGCTTTTAGTGCTTTGACAAATTTAAACCACACAAGGGATAGGATACCAAAGTCTACTGAGTGGGTCCTGGTTGGATCTAGAAGGAACTTGGATAACAAGACGAGGCCCAGAAGGAAAGAAAAATAGCCTCCTAATAGAGAGAGGCTAAATTTAAAAGACTGTTTGGGCTGTCGGAAGGAGCCTATCTAATTCTTCAATCTGTTCTTGCCTTGCGGGATGATGCCTCTAGATTTACAGCCCAGGATGAAAATATGAACCTTGAGGCCATGTAACCAGGTGATGGTGAGATCGAGGAACGTGATAAATTGAACACTGGCTTGCATGGCAGTGGATCTTTGAGGCTGGATACAGGACATACAGTGGGACTAGCTCATAACCAAGGGGAAGAGGTTTTGTTATATATGGAGATATGCAAGATTTAGATAAGAGTCATGGGGTGGACTAAGCACCCCAGTCTTCTCTAATGATTTCCTTATAAATTTTATGATATGGAATGTACATGGCACAGGCACACGGAGCTTCCCCGCTCTGATTCGTGATTTGAAGAAGTATCATAAACTGGATTTTCTGGCTATTGTTGAGACATTATGTGACAAAGCTAAAATGGATAAAAGAATTCAACATTTTGGGTTTGAACAGTCTACTGTGGTTGACTCAGAGGGGTAGAGTGGTGGTATTTGGTGCTTATGGGACTCGTATATCAAACGGGTCTGTGTTTTGGAAAGACATGCTCAGTTTATTCATCTTTAACTTACCATTTCCCTGAATATTACGTGGTTGCTTACTATTGTATACGCAAGCCCATATAGTACTGCTAGAAGGAGGCTATGGGTTGAGCTCTCTCAGTTAAGCCATAGTATGGATGGCGCTTGGGCAATCGGGGGTGATTTTAATGCTACTTTACTAGACATAGAAAGACATTCAACTACTCAGTTCCAACTTACACATGATAAGGAGTTTGTGACATGGATTGAGGACATTGGAATGCATGACTTGGAGTTTGTGGGACCTAGATTCACGTGGCAAAGAGGACAAATAGAGGCTCATTTAGACTATATTATAGCTAATGGACAGTGGATAGACATCTTTCGTCATGCAGCTATTTCCTACCTCCCTTTCTATAAGTTAGACCATCAACCTCTCCTCCTTCACCTAGATCAGATGACTCCTCGTTGTCGTCCTCAGTGGCCTTTCTGCTTTATCATGGCATGGGTCTTGCATGTTAAGTTTGATGAGTTCGTTAAAGCTAACTGGAAATTTGATGGCTGTTGGCCTGAGAATATTCTTCATTTTGCCAAAGCTTGCTCTATGTGGAATAAAAATGTGTTCGGGCATACAGAAGCTAGGAAGAAACATTTGTTGAGACGACGGGATGGGATAAATAATATACTAGCTCGTAGAGGTCGTGATCACTACTTAGAGGGATTGTAGTTTGCTCTATGGAAAGAGCTTAAAGATATACTCCTCCAAGAATTGTTACTTTGGGCTCAAAAAGCTCAATTAGAGTGGTCTGTCTTTGGAGATCGTAATGCTCGCGCCTTTCATTGGCGTGCAAATTCTAGAAGGAAAGCCAATTGCATAGAAGCACTCCAAGATGATGCAGGCAATTAGATTAACAAAGTTGACGTCATCAAACAAATGGCCACGAGTTATTTTGTGAACCTCTTTGCTGAGAATTCTTGTGTTAGACCAGAATTGGATTGTGGGGTCACTTTTTCTAGTGTGGATGGTCAATTTCTTGCCCAATATGGGAGGGAGGTCAGTGAGGAGAAGGTCAGGGATGTGCTATTTAGTATGGGTGCATTAAAATTGCCAAGCCCGGATGGTTTTAACCCTCTTTTCTATCAGAATCAATGGGGTATGGTAAAGAGCTTAGTTACTGCTTTTGTTAAATTTCTTCTTCGTAACCCATAGGAGATCAAGTCTATTAATGGGACCCTTATTGTTTTAATCCCAAAGAAAGACCCACCAGAGACATTGAGAGATCTTCAACCTATTAGTTTGTGTAATGTCATCTATAAGATAGTGACAAAGGTGATTGTGAATCAGTCGAAGCCTATCTGGCTGCTTGTGATCTCTCCAAACCAATGTAGCTTTATTCCTGTGAGACATAGTAGTGATAATATTATAGTTGCTCAGGAAATGATCCATTCTATGCATGGCATGAAGCATAAAAGAGAGGCTATTTGGCTATTAAAATTGACCTTGAAAAGGCGTATGATCGGGTGAATTGGAATTTTCTCAAGCAATGCCTTGTTGAATTAAATATTTCCACTCATTGTATTAATGTTATATCTGAGTGTATCTCTACAGCAAACATGCAGTTGCTTTGGAATGGGGACAAGGCTGGCGTTGTCCGAATGCAAAGAGAAGTGTGCCAAGGGGACCCTATTTCTCCTTATCTCTTTGTAATTTGTATGGAGAAGTTTGTGCACCTTATATAGGCAAAGGTGAATGTTGGTGACTGGAAACCTATTAGAATCACCCTGTTAGGGTTGCCTATCTCCCATCTTTTCTCTGCAGATGATGTTATGTTGTTCGTAGAAGCTTCTTTGCAATAAGTGGGGGTGATTCACAGATGTATTGATAGATTCTGTGTTGCTTTTGGCTTGAAAGTTAACGACTCAAAGACCTGGGTCTTCTTTTCTAGGAATATTAACCACAATAGGTGTAGCGAGATCAGTACTACCCTAGGCTTTACCCAAACGAATGACTTGGGCAAATACTTAGGGGTTCTGCTTCACCACAAAAGGATTTCAACTGAATTGTTAAGGAGGTAGTAGATAAAGTTAAAATGAGGCTCTCTAAGTGGAGAGCGACTTCCCTTTCTACAACCGATTGTACAACTTTAATTTCGGTGGTGACTTCTGCTATTCCTTGTCATGTTATGCAGACTTGCCCTTTGCCTGTTATGTCATATGAGGCTATTGATCGATGCAACAGATCCTTCTTATGGGGTGGAACTGATGAGCATAAGAAGATTCCTCTCATGGTCTGGAATGAGGTATGCAAACCTAAGAAATATGGTGGACTTGGTCTACGTCATGCAAGGCTCCATAATCAGTCACTGATGATGAAAGTTGGATGGAAGTTGACCAAGCGAGAGATGCCTTGTGGGTATGGGTGGTCAGAGATAAATATAATTGTGGTACCAATATTATCCCAGGGATTGATAGAGCTTGGCCAGACTCTAACTTATGGTTGGCTATAAAGGCAACATGGAGCAAGGTTAAGGAGAACCTGGAGAGAATAAGTTTGGACGACGTACGATGGAAAGGGAGTAAGAGTGGGGAGTTCAGTGTAAAGTTAGCTTATAACTTGCCTAGAACAAGTAGTATGCAAGTTGATTCCTTGTGGGAGAAGATTTGGAAGCTGAAGATCCTATAAAGGTGTCGAACCTTCATATGGGTAACAGCCCATAAGCGCCTCCTTGCCAATGCTTCTAATAGGAAAAGAGGGCTCTCAGATGATGATTCTTATCTACTGTGTAAGGGTGACATTGAGAACCTTATTCATATTTTGTGAGATTGTCCACATAGTAGTAGCCTTTGGAGGGCGATGGTGCGCCCTTCAGTGTGGTATGCTTTCAGCTGTAGAGAGTTTGATGATTAGTTCAGATGGAACTTAACAAATGGAGGAAGTAAGGAACGAGAAGAATTGAGGGCCATGTTTGCTGTCATATGTTGGTGGCTCTGGCAGTGACAGAATTTATTCGTGTTTGAGTAGAAGAAAGTCTCGAATACTACGATTATCTCCAGTGCTCGGGCCATGGTTACTAGCAGCCACGAAGCTCATGAGAAATACTGCAAGGCAAAGCAACTCTCTGGGCTACTTGGGTCTCACCAAGAGAAGTGGGTAGCGCTGAAGCCAAGGTGAATTAAAGTAAACGTTGATGGAGCGTTCTTGCATATGACCTATACTAGTGCTTGCGGGGCATCCTTCGCGATAGTGCTGGGAGCTTCCTTAGGAGTTTCGTCTGCCGACTGAATGAAGGAGACAGCATCACTGCAAAACTATAGGCTTGCATTCACTGCCTCAGGATGGCATGAGGTATGGGCTTTAGACGCGTTATGCTAGTCTGATTCTAAGGAAGCAGTGATATTACTGACACAAGCTGGTCCTAGTTTGCACGAGGATTTATAGTTGGTAGAGGAGGCTAAAAGCTTGCTTAGTAGAACTTGGGATGTTAAAGTTAATCATGTGAGACGGTGGTATAACCCTACAGCTGGTCACTTGGCTAAGAAAGGCCTGTCGATGACACCTGGTTTTTACGATATTGAGTACCCTTCTCAAAAGCTAGAGGTTATTGCATTTAGAGAGAAGGGGATGTAATCATTGGCTTTCCTACCTGATATTAAAAAAAAAAATTTAAGAAAAAATGGCAAAAAAAGGCTGTTAAAATAAAAAATTACAAATAAAAACCCATGACAATATTAGTATAAGTTTTGATAATAATAGTATGGGCTTAAACAAAATTTTTTGTAAACAGGTCCTTATATGTAATTTTTCTTTTTTTGCTTTTTTTTTTTGGGGTCATTTTCCCAATATCTAAACCGTTTTTAATTGCACTACTAGGAATAAGTACGTGAAAAATGACAGTATTAGCTCCAACAAGCACCTCAAGCAACAGATGAAGTTTGAAGAAAAGGGCTTATATTTGAGTTGGTTGGGTGATGCAACTGCTTTTGCAATTGATTTATTGTTATATGAAACTTTTATCATCTTTACCAACTATATAAGACTCTGATTTCATGCATTGTGCTTTTGAATCTGGGTTCTGCACATTAAAGTATGTAGCGCTTACTCATCGTTCTGGATATTATGCCTTCTAGGATGAATCGGACAGTGGACAACCAGGCACTTCTGGAGCAATTGAGGAATCAGCAATTAAGCTGATCTAATTCCATACGACTTGTGATGATGAAGAACCAGCGACTTCAGCGTTGTCCAGAACCGATAAATTAGCAATTTTAAACAAGCTATAGCTGTTGAGTGAGAACCAGGAAGACTAATCAAGGGCATATGTATGTCACATGTTACTTCACATTGTGTTTCGCCTTCGGTATTCAAGGCTCCTCTCACCCCAGGAAAAGCCATTTTACAAATCCCTTTCACAGACTTGTGCATTTTGCACAGTTGCATCAATCGAACCAAGCCGCACGAGGAGAACATTTTCTGATATTTTCCATCAATGTTCCAATCTGAAAGCTCTGGATCCTGGCAAACAGGCCCATGGTCAGATGATTGTATCTGGTTTTGTCCCTACCATCTATGTTTCCAATTGTTTGATTCAGATGTACTCAAAATGCTCCCACATGGACTATGCGTCTCAGGTGTTTGACAAAATGCCTCATCGAGACTCTGTCTCTTGGAACACTATGATGTTTGGCTACGCGGGAAGTGGAAACATGGTGAATGTACAGTTCTTTTTTGACTCAATGCCTAAGAGAGATGTGATTTCTTGGAATACTTTGATCTCCTGTTATTTGCGGGATGGCTCCAACCAAACGTCAATTGAAGCTTTTCTTCAAATGAGAACAGCAAATGTGCAACCAGATCATACTACGTTTGCTGTTGCTCTGAAAGCCTGTTCTGGTCTGGAAAACTATAATTTAGGAATACAGATTCACTGCCTTGCAATTCAAATGGGCTTGATTAATGATGTGGTGACGAGTTGTGCTGTGGTAGACATGTATTCAAAATGCAAGAGGCTAGATGAGGCTTCCTTGGTTTTCTATGAAATTCCTGAAAAAAATTGGGTATGTTGGGGTGCTATAATTGCAGGGTGTGTTCAGAATCATCAGCTTGTCGAGGGTCTAAAACTTTTCAAAGATATGCAAAGAGAAGGTATTGGGATGAGTCAGTCAACGTATGCTAGCATTTTTAGAGCTTGTGCAGAATTATCTGCATTTAAAGTTGGCAAACAATTGCATGCCCATGCCTTAAAAGCAAACTTTGAATACGATATCATCGTGGGAACTGCGATATTAGACATGTATGCAAAATGTCAAAGCATGACTGATTCTCGAAAGCTATTTAATTTGTTGCCCAGTCCTGGACGTCCATCATATAATGCCATTATGGTTGGATATGCTAGGCAAGGTCAAGGTAAAGAAGCTCTGGGGACTTTCCAGTCTTTACATAGATCAAGTCTTGGCTTTGATGAAGTAAGCTTGTCCGGTGCATTCTGTGCTTGTGCGGTAATCAAAGGATATTCAGAGGGGATTCAACTACAAGGATTAGCATTCAAATGTAATTTAATGTTTAATATTTGTGTTGCAAATGCCATTTTAGACATGTATGGTAAATGTGGAGCTCTAACTGAAGCCTGTCTAGTGTTTGACGAGATGGTAATGAGGGATGCAGTATCTTGGAATGCAATCATTGCTGCTCATGAGCAAAATGAAGAAGTGGATAAAACACTTCCACTTTTTGTTTCAATGCTGCAGTCTAAAATGGAACCAGATGAGTTTACTTATGGTAGTATTCTAAAAGCCTGTGCTGGCAAGAAAAAATTAAACTGTGGCATGGAGATCCATGGAAGAATTATCAAATCTGAAATGGTATTAAACCCATTTACTGCAAGTGCACTTGTTGATATGTATTGCAAGTGTGGGATGCTAGAAGAGGCGGGGAAAATTCATGACAGAATGGAAGACGAGACAGTTGTTTCTTGGAATGCAATCATTTCAGGATTCTCATTGCAGAAGCAAAGTGAAAATGCCCAGAGGTATTTTTGTCACATGCTTGAAATGGGTGTACCGCCAGACACTTTCACGTATGCTACAATTCTCGATACTTGTGCTGATTTGGCCACTATTGAACTTGGCAAGCAGATTCATGCTCAAATCCTCAAGCTACAATGGCATTCAGATGCATACATAGCCAGCACTCTGGTGGACATGTACTCAAAATGTGGAGAAATGCAGGATTCCCAATTAATGTTTGAGAAAGCACCTAATCGAGATTATGTTACATGGAATGCCATAATCTGTGCTTATGCCTGCCATGGTCTCGGAGAAGAGGCCATTAAAGTATTTGAGGAGATGCAGCTTCTGAATCTCAAACCAAACTGTGCAACCTTTGTCTCAGTCCTCAGAGCTTGTGCACATATGGGTTATGTAGACAAAGGGTTGCATTACTTCCAGAAAATGCAAAGCTACTATGGTTTGAATCCTGAGTTGGAGCATTACTCATGTATGGTGGATCTCCTTGGTAGGTCAGGTCAAGTGAGTGAAGCTTTGAAGCTTATTGAAAGCATGCCTTTTAAAGCTGATGAGATCATTTGGAGGACTCTTCTCAGCATCTGCAAGAGGCAAGGGAATGTAGAAGTGGCAGAAATAGCAGCAAATTCTTTACTACAATTAGACCCTCAAGACTCTTCTGCATATGTTCTTTTATCCAATATTTATGCTGATGCAGGGATGTGGCGTGAGGTCTCAAAGATAAGAAGAATAATGAAGGATTATAAGTTAAAGAAGGAGCCTGGTTGCAGTTGGATTGAGGTAAGAGATGAGGTGAATGCATTTATTGTTGGAGATAAAGCGCATCCAAGATGTGAAGAGATATATGAGAAAATTCATTTGCTTCTTTATGAGATGAAGTGGGCTGGATATGCATCAGATGCTCATTTCATGTCTGATGATTTGGTAGAGGATGAAGAGCCTCAGCAGCTAAGGGCAATCTACACGTGTTAGACGTAGATATAGAAACACATCTAAAAGGGATTTAGATAGTTCTCCCAAAAAAAAAAAAAAGGATTTAGATTTTCACTTAATTAAAATTTTGTGTCCCCCAACTTCAATTGGAGGATTTATTGGGTCTCAAACTAATGCCAACCATCAGAAAAAATAACTTGGACCATTAACATTTTTAATGGTTGGGAACGATAATCATACTTGAGTTATGATCTTTAAATTATTTCTGTGTTTAGTTAAAGAGATGGAGCCCTTGAATGCTGCGACTATTGAATTGAGATTCCTATGACTAAGGGTATTAAAGTTAAGAGTCAAGGGTATATAGTAAACAAGATATGTATTACATAAGTGGGACTTGTTTCACCAACCTTTCCCGTCTTTTTTTTTTTTTGGCCAGCAACCTTTTCCCGTTTTACGTCTTCAATTTTTCATGCCTGTTTTTTCCTCCCAATTTTGAATTCGATTGTTAAATTTGGGCAACATTGCTCCCTTTTTCCGATGCTTTTAGAGCAACATTGATTTTTTGCTAAAACTTTCAAAGTAAAAATAACAAAGCAAGAAAGCACATTCATGCTTGCATAGAATTATACATGGCATAAAATTCAATGTAGCATGTGTCCGTTTGGCTTCCGTTAGAATAAGGCAATATTACTCTTATTTTAACACTTTCGAAGTGACACTAAACCCACGAGAAGTTTTGAGATATTCACAAGTGAAAACTTTTTAAAAAAATTGGACCTTAACCCTTAGCTAGTTAATGCCCTGTTTAGGACAGGAAAGTGTTTTTTCTTTTTGTTTTTTTCAGGTAAGTAGGGACATTGAAGAATGTGTGTGTGTGTGTGTTTTTTTTTTTTTTTGGGGGGGGGGTGTTAAGAGTATTTTACTATGCAAAAGAAAGGGAGATAAAAAATCTCACCATCGGCTGGCATAACGCAGGTTTTAATACCTCGAGAATAATGACAAATATTATGATCCATTCATATCCCAGACTATGATGTCACAGAAAAGGGGAAAGAATTGAAGGGGGAAAATAACAGTTGAGGAAAAAGTTGATATAGAGTTTGTATCGCAATATTCCTAAGGCAAGATCAAGTAAAACAATAGCCAAATTCAGAAGGCATTTAGAAAATGCCTGCTCATTTACAATACTTCTTGAACCATACACCAATATTAATGAAGCTTTCAAAGTCAGATTGTGGCCTGCAAAATTGTTAAACCAGATTGTCATATTATACATTTTTATGATTGTTTTCGTGAAAGGAAATAGGTTGAGGCAGGGATTTATATACCTGTCAATTGCATGAACATCATTGGGAAACACTATTATTTTGGTGTCAACTCCTTTGGCCTTTAGGGCCCTCGCATACTACAATTAACACATAAGTTTTTATCATCACTCAATTTGAACAAGAAAGCAATCAGCTCAAGCTATGTTTTGATGAAGGGCAATGCCTGATGCAATAAAAGGGAAGGTTTCACTATAAGTTTTCCCTTGCATTGAAGTAATTGATCAGTGAATGATATTTCAATTAACTTGCAAAGCCCCGCCTCCATCCTTTTTTTTTTTTTAATAAAAAAAGTAATATAAAGACAGGTCCCAGAAATATATGCCTTTTACTCTTCAATCCTTGGATTGGTTCCAAAATTAGTCGTCCATGATTGTTACAAATGCACATTTAGTCCTTCAAGAGTATGGAGAACGAGGGAGAAGTTTCAGTGAAATACCCTTAACAGTGCAAGTAATTGATAAAGCACATCGATTGAGAGTAGAATATAAGTACTTACTTGCAATCCATTAGAAATCGGAACACGAAGATCTTGTGCACCGAATAGGAAAAGCGTTGGTGTTTTTACCTGCATAAGTAATCAGAAAACAATCCGTATTTGCAATGCCAGACAGGAGAGAGTGAAGAAGAAGAAAGATAATAAAGAAGAAGTTGTAAAGCCTCATTGCAAGCAGAAACATATTAGCTAATGCAGTTTGCTCAATATGATTATCAAGAGAGAAAAAAAAAAATACATTTTTTGTTACCTGTTAAAATTTTTTTTTTTTCTAGCTTACTTAGACTAATTATTTCAACACATCTCCCATGTTTAGCTTAAGCTTCTTCCAACACCTTCATGTGTACAACAACAACACCAATAAAGCCTTACCCCCACTAAATGGGGTCGGCTACATGAATCATACAATGCCATTGTGCTTTGTCAACAATCCAGTTCTCAAATATGTTGTTGACCAGGAGGTCTCGTTTAATGACCTTATTGAGCATTCTTCTTGGTCTTCCTCTGCCCCTCTTTTTAAGACTCCATAGTATCTAATCTACTCTCCTCACCGGGGCATTGAATGACTTTCTCTGCACATGTCCAAACCACCTAAAACGATGTTCAATCAATTTCTCTTGAATAGGTGCCACACAGACTCTTGCTTTGATATTTTCATTTTGAATCTTAGCTTTTCTCGTATTTCTACACATTCATCTTGACATCCTCATTTCTGCTACCCCAACTTTGTGATCTTATTTTCCATTTATCGTCTAACATTCACTACCGTACAACATAACTGGTCTTACAGCACTCTGATAAAATTTTCCCTCAAGCTTCTTGGATGCCTTCTTATAGCAAATAACTCCGGTAGCCTTTTTCCACTTTAACCAACCAGCTTATATTATATGAGAAATGTCTCTATCAATTTCACCATCTTCATATACAATAGATCCTAGGTATTTAAACCTTCATGTGCAGTTTAACTAAAATCACATGTCCCCCTGAATTTTAAATAAACTGGCCCTAAAATCTCAATATGTAAAGGTTTACATGTATGTTGAAGAGTCAAGTAGTGAGCCCATAAGGAACTACACCAATCATTTGGCTTTTCCGTTGGAAAATGCTTCAAGACTAGAGCATTACTAACGTAATTTAATAATCAAAATGCTACTTTTGATTAACATACCTTCGAGAGATGTGAAATTGGAGACTTGCTGTAAAAAAGAGTGAGATCCTCTTCTGAAGGTGCTTCTGTATACTTACCTATGCCAGCTATTCCATAGGACTCCACATAGCACCAGTCAGGGATATCAGTTATACCAACCATCAATGAAAGGTTACAAACAGGGTTTCTCACAGCTGCCGCAACAAACTTCTCTGGTGCCTGTAGCAATCAGGAAGGCAAAATAAAATAGCTACAATCAAAAGCCATCGTCTATTTTGAACATAATATTGTGGAAGACCCTTTTCTTTTTTAATTCTTGACAGGAATTCCTTACATCCTTTTTGATCATTAATAATGTTCATGCATTCTTGATATTAATAATTTTCTTAACATCGACCAATCACCTTAGAGTATAAAAAAATCCCTGCCTCTAGCACATGTGCAAAACATAATTATCAACAGAAATAGTAATTTACAAGCTTAATGTTATGTTTGGATGGAGAGAAAATGAGGGAGGAAGGAAAACTAGAAAGAAAAATGGGAGCAGAAGTGGTTTTTCTTCTGTTTGGATGGGGGAAGAAAAGTGGGAGGAAAGAAAAGTTGGGGAGAAAATGAAGTGGGTCCCACAACCCATTTTCCTCCCTACTTTTCTCTCCATATATGGGGAGAAAATGAGAAGAAAACATATTTTTCCTCTCTACCCTTACATATATTTTTTCAGAAAAATAATACCTATTTTTTTTTCCCCCATCTTTTCACTTTATTTATTATTATCAAGCCTTTATTCTGTGTTTGCTTGATTAAAAAACAAAATAACTAAAATTACAAAAATCCTTCTAAAATGAACTGAAATGAAAAACAAGTAGAGTCGTTATTTTGGTTTTTTTAGCATTACATTACACAAAATGTTCTTTTTTTCCTTTTTTAGCAAAATTATTTGATATTAAAATATATCTTCATCAGATAATTTGATTTTAAATTATATGATTATGTTAATGTAAATATGGTTTTTCATTATGATATTTAATTTGATTTTAATCAAGATATATTTTGCTATAATAGAAAGGGTATTTTAGTCATTCATATATTTACTTATTTTCTTTCCTTTCTGTTTTCTCTTGTTCATCCAAACATGAGAAGTGATAATATTTTCTCTCCAATTTTCTCTTCTCTCCATTTTCTCTCCTCTCATTTTCTTTCCTCTCAACTTTTCTTCTTATCCAAATAGAGGGCAAATACACTTTTGGTCCCACAGTTTCATAGAAGTTTCGCTTTTATACCCTGTTGAAAAAGCAGAAGGAAATGTTGCCCCCTTAATTTTTTAAACCAATCCAATTTTGCCTCCTGCGTCACATCATCCGTCCAAAATCTAACATCAAAGTTTAAAATCTGCGAACTTAGACATTATTCATATGGAACCATTAACCCACCTGGATTTAGCTTTCAAGTCAGCAGACAGTGTGGATGGAGATGTGACAAAGGGCCAAAATTAGATCTTTATAGAAAATTAGATCATTAGTCATCAAAGTTTACATTGCCTGTTTTGCACCAAAGGGGCTAAAAAGGTATCAAAGCCAACATCTTAATAAGAATAGCACGGCTACTAAGATTGAGTAGACAGCACTGAACACTCTGAACTAGCATTCTCGTGGCAGTTTAATTTTCAGCATGAAAACTCATTTAAGGATCAAGATATACTAGAAAATCCAATCCAAGGGTCAAAGTTCGTAACAGACTGGAATTACAATTGTTTTAAGAAAACAAAAGGACTAGAAGGAAAATTCTGCAGAAAAATGTATGGATCAGAAGTCACAGTAAGTATGATCATTAGTGATATAGCACCTGGCCAATTAGGTGGGTTGTCAGAAAGCCACCATGCGAACCACCCAGCACTGCAATCTTTGATGGACTGGCAAGTCCTAAGCTAATGACATGATCTACGGCAGTGATAACATCTTCAACATCCTATACATGATGAACACATCAGTGGCCAACCAAAAAGCCATAAAACTATAAAGCAAGAACAATTTAAAAAGGGAGATGTGTCCATGTCCAACACACATCAAACACTTGTGTTAGACAATACATGACACCTTAAATTACATATTCAGATTGTCATATTGTGGTGTTAGTATAAGTATCAGGTCCTAGTTCCTGTTAGTGTTCATGCTTCCTAATCATAGAAGAAGCTTTGAAAGAAGAATGGCTACCAAATAAACTTGCCAGCCTGTTTATGGAAACAAGCGAACAACAGATACCTGAGAACCAGCTTTTCCAGGAAGAGATTGTAATGCTTCCTCACCAAATCCTATCGAACCTCTGACAAGCAGTATCAAGTAAGAAGCCTGCAAAAGGACTAATACTAGACATTTCTTCAACTATGATTAAATATCCAAGACATTATACTATGTGCGATCATCCAGGCATCTCATAAAAGGTGCAATATCATTCTTTCTTGAAAGAAAAGAATTCAGCATGATAACAAATTATAGCTCTGAGTAGTAATAGTATATAATTGCTAATCTAATCACCCATTTTGAACCAGAACACCCAACATAGAGCGCATTTTCTACTAGAAAAATTAGTCTATGTCACCATCCATGAGCACACTAGTTCAGAGATGCCCACACCAAGCAAGCACTTATCCATTCCGGTGGGTACAAAGAAACAGAGAATTTCTTGCATCGAGTTACATGTTTTTTTAACTGTTATTAAAACTTATATATCATAAAACAGTGAAGGTGCGGTGAGGACACAACATACTCTGAATCTGGAAGAAACTGGCATGTTGAGTGCAAGCCTGTAGACACTCTAATGTAGGGTAACTATTGACTGAAACTTAAATAGGAAAATCCTTTAGTTGTGAGAGACTTGTTTGAAAGTTGATTTCCAAGTCTCGAACTTGACTAGATATTTTCACCAAAAAAAAAAAAAAAAAAACCTTTTATGCTTGTAGCCAGTCAATTTATGAACAGAATGAGGAACACTTGAAAGGATGTATCTAATCCTTTGTACATTAAAAATGACTTCTAGAAAAGGCATATTCTTCAAGGGCGACTGTAGGTCTGACATCAAATAACCCTAGGGCTATTTATAGAGTCCTCAGTATAATAACTAAAAATAAAAATAAATTTAAACTAATTGAAACATATATAAGAAATAACCTAAATATCCTAATTGAAAATAATATAAACTAAACCAAACTTACGGAAAAAATGATTACTAAAACCTAAATTACCGAATCCTAAAATAAATCAACTATATTTCCCATCACAAGTGCATGTGTCAGAGTGTATTAGGAAAGTCTATTTTAATTCTGTCGTATCTTTCCTTATTTTTTCAGAGATAGAATTAGAATTTGATTTATTTTAGCTCCATGTATCCTGGGATCTGATTGACTGGACTCTAGCAACTTCTCCCACTAATATCATTGATCCCTTCTGAGATGAACATTATGAGAGAAACAGACTGAATCTCACTCTTGTTCTCCATTTAATTCTTCATTTCTCCCTTAGATGTGAACTCAAGCTCTATCCCAGTATCCCAAATCAAACTTAGCACTGTTAAATTCTGGTGGACGTGGGCGTCCACTTACTTATGTTAGGAAAAAGCCCATGAATCCAGTTAAGGGTAATTGAGGTATTTTGTGCATGGCCGTCACATGTGAGAATATGGGGTTGGTTAGTAGAGTCAGAGAGGATTCTGGTTGGTTTCTGGAAGAGCCTATGCCTCTCAAAGGCATAGGAGCTTTCTGCTTATGGCTAGTGTATTCCTCCATTAGACCTCCAATCTGTGGAGAGTTTTGTTATAGAACAATACATTTCTAGCCCTATTTCCATCAAACTCCTGAGAGCACACCTGCACAATTTATGATTTCAAAAGATCAAGTTCTTTTATTCTATTTCTTTTTCCCCCGGCCTCCTAGCTAGCACTTTCTGGACATTAACTCAAGGCCTATAAGAATCACTGAGATAATGGGAATCCATCTCTTTGATCAAAGTAATTAAAGAATATAAATTATAATAAAAACATAAAATGATAATGTTTGAAATTTCTGGCCTTGATGAATGCTAGAATGCCAAGCGCGTTTCATTTACCTGTAATTTACAATCAACAAACTATAAGCAAGAGAAGATAAGAAAGCCAGTGACTTTGAAAAACTTGAAACTGAGACAGCGTGCGGCCCCCCATGAAGGATTGCAATTAGGGGATCACATGCATCATTTTTCTTGGTTTTTGATGACACAAATATAGCTTCAATAGGCTTCCTAGCACCTGAAATTGAAGTGAAAAATTAAGGGACATATGAAAAGTATTCCTCCAGCAAAATTTCAATGTAATCTCACATTCCATAATAAAAAAGAAAGTAAAAAAGACTATATATTAGGTAGCTAAGTACTCATCCCAACCATCATATTTATTGTAAATATGAACTCTCTTCTAACTCATAAATGATTTTCTCATTGAAGACATTACAAGTGATCAAGTTTCTCAATGTTGACTGTTTTCTCTTGCAAGTGCAGTCACACTTAAGCATAAATAAGAGAATTCTATCTACTCAATACTAGTCGAGATAACCAAGTCAACAATCACCTTTGGTTAGGTTGTCAGAAGCAACTTTCACGGGGATTTTCATTACACTGAACTGAAGAGAGGACAGCAAGGATCTCACCTGTAAATGCAAATGATGTACATTTTAGGATATCATATATTATTTACCTGCAAAAGTAAATAATATAGTTCCGAAAGGAAATTACATAAACCTTGTCAGAGCATCTGAATATGGGACTTGGTACATTTGACCAACTCCATGCTTTAGCATTATTTTTCTTCTCAATAATGGTGCCATAGCTGATTTCAGGAACATCTACTGGGCTACTCAAAACTGGATAAAGTTGAACAAAATTGAAGAAAGTGACATGTTTTTTCTCAACCTCAACAGGAAAGGTTAAAAAATTGAGAATAAAAATAAAGCTAAACGTTTGATGATACCAGAAATAATATTGTTCCCATCCAATGCAAGAAGACTCCATGAGAAATCTGAGTCAGCAGGGGTGATACGTGATACTTCTCCACTATATATGACGAAAATAGATGGAGTTGATCATAAAATAGTCACGTAAGATTTGCACAAAGCAAGCAAAAATGCATTTCCATGGTAATAGTTACCTCGACACATTCACTGAAAGTAAAACCTGACAGCTACACCAAACAGACGGTAAAATCATAGTGCACCCATCAGAAAGCCAAGGATTAGAAAGGACAGTTGAACAATACAGCCCAGGGAAGCAACCATCCTCCGCACACATCACAACAGGAATCTTCAAAATTGATGAAAGAAAACCCCAATTATTTATCAAAAAGTAAAGAAGTATAATAGAAAACTTACTGTGTACAGTGTAGGAGAGATGGAATTAAGTACATGTACTGATTTGAGCCCTTGATCTTTACTGAAACTGAGTTGGGCTAGTATAGTGCAACTTATAATTGTATGAATCATGGCAAACCTACTGGGTACTTGAAACTAAGAATCTAAATTTAATTATGAACATGAATCTAAATAAGTGTCCCAACTAATATATTTTCTCCTATGGCTTAGCTTCTAACATAACTATGAAAATCCTTTTTCAAGAAATTGTAGCATTTCATTGCAAATTTTCCAAAGAAGAAGGGTGAGTTATATGTTGAACAACATCCAAGCAGAGGAATACCGGTTTAATTAATTTTGCTTTGAAACAAGGGCACCTTTTTATAGTGAACAACGTCCAAGCAGAAGAAAAAAACATCTTTTCAATTCAACTAGTAATCTAGGTTTCAAAACATTTCATAAAGGCCTGGTTCATAGAGAGTTGAGAACACTGCAAACAACCTCATCAAACTGACACAAGAAACCCAAAATCTTATCAAGGATGGATGATATCAGTGTATAAGATTTTATCAAGGCCAAACCCAAAATCAACCCTTAAAAGAGAACAAACTTCATTTTGTTTAAATGCAAGTCGCATTCTATCATCAGAAAATTATGCATAAAACCAAAACAAAGTTGAGCATAGAACACGACCTATCTTTCAACTTATATGAGCATTCCATACTTGTTTTGAGTTTACTAAAATATAAAGACCAAGAAGCCGAGTTTTATGACTAACTAGGTGGGCTCTTTGTGCATTCACAACTTGTGAATATTGTGATTCACAATAAATTTTGTATCTTATATTTACTGATATGTATTGATATTGATACGAGCAAAATTAACAACTCATGGATTACAATAGTCACAAATGAAGTGCTTACCACATCATAAACTTTTACAGATTTGTACTGCTTCACATCAGAGGGCCAATCAATTCTATGGAGTGAATTTGTTGCAGAGTGGGCTCCAGAATCCACTGAACTTTTTGCAGATAAAAACACAAGGAACTTCCCATCTGGGCTGGTATGACATTCATTCATAAAATTATCATGATAAACTTCTACCTTAAAAAGGATCAGATTCCATTTAAAGTAGGAATGTAAACTGACAAGGTACTGCAACATTTCTGACCACTTATCTCACTCAGGGAAAAGTTTTTTTAAAAAACAAATTACGGTATACAGTCAGTTTTAATCAGCATGACTTATCAGATATAGAGGGAGGGCCTTGGCACAGAGGTAAAGCTGTTGCCATGTAACCTGTGGTCACAGGTTCAACCCAAGGAAACAGCCTCTTGCTAAAATGCAAGGTAAGGCAGCGTATTAGTAGACTCAAAGCAGGTCCAACCCTCCCCACACCATGTGCGTAGTGGAAGCTTCATGCATTGGGATAGAGCTTTATATCTAACCAAAGAAAAGTAAACTATGCTTGTGTAAAAAAGGAAAAGGGGAAAAAAAAAATGGCTACCAAAATATATCATATATATTCTTCACTTGTTGATGTCATGAACCTTAAAGTCCTTTAAAGGAAATTCAAACACAAGAAGTTACTGCTCAAAATTAAAATCCAATTTTAGAACACATTTACGCTACCCTGTCATCATTAGTTATTTTCATATCATCTTGTCATTGATTTATGTTTTGCATAAAACAGAGAAAAGTGTACAAAAATGTTCTATTTTCCAAGAAAAACCCCTTCCTGATCAAGAATATGAAACAACGAGAGATCAAGTCAAACAAATAAAGAATGGTAAGAAATTCTAAAAATTATATGATTTTACAAGCCTACCTGAATCGTGGAGAGAAAGCACTATTTATAGTCCGGGTTAGGTTTAGTGCCTGGAAATCTTCAGTTGACCTGCATCAGCGTATAACTTCACAGTTTAGTAGCATAACAAAATGTAACAACATCCAGTGTAAAAAGGAATTTAAACTAAGGAGACTCACTGAATCTCTGTTTCATTAGCATTTGAATCATGGTCGGGGGCTCTAACAGCATATAATGCACAAGGTCTATTATAACAGTACTTCATACCAAGTTTTCTTGTCTCAAATGACCATCCGACAAATACTAAATATTGTGCTGATGGAGCCCACACAACTTGTCCAACACTTAAAGATTTGTCAATTCCTTTGACAGATTGTACCTCTCCACTATACAAACATGAATTCGGTTAGGTTTATTATTGAAAAAACATAAACCCCGCATTATTCAAATCAAAATATTTGATGTATAACCTTTTGATGCTTATAACAAAAAGCGCAGGTTGCCTCTTTCCTGAATATGTTTCTCCCCAGTTCTCCTCCCAAGCCCCTTGACCTTTCCAGCTCCCGCTATCCTTGTCTGTCAAACCACCTTTCTTGTAGCCCTGATCGTTGAAAGCAGGCTTTGCAGGGGACGGCTCTTCAGCTACATATGCTATACAAGTTTCATCCAAGTTCCAAGAGATTCCCTCAAACCTACACCATAGAAGAAGACATGAAACTTTTGACTTGTGCTAAGAACTTCCTAAATTATTGCCTCTGTGCAGAGGCTATTGCTTTTTTTTTTTTTTTTGTCCCCTACATTTAAAAAATAGTAGAACATTTGAAGTCAGACAAGAAATACCAGAGACTAACTTGAGGTAAAAGCTACTTGTTTCACCATGAACAATCTAGAATCTCTGAAAAATAAAAATAAGCACACATGGTAACTGACCATCCATCAGTATATACTGAGCCATGCACTGACTGGGGGATATGGAATTCCTTTTCCAAGTGAGATGAATTCCATATTTCAAGGTGAGAAGAACCTTCATTCTCAGGATTTCGAACTACCAGAAGTCTTGAGCCAGAAGGTGATGGAACAACTTTAGATGCTCCAGACATCTCTATGGGAAATGGAGCCCAATGAAATTCTACAGAGCTGTTACTTCCTTTAGATATTGTAGAGGATAGTATGAACTTCTTTCTCTTGTTTGCCAGAAGATTTGGTTGGCTAATACAAAACATTCCCTGAGCGGGCAGTGCTGTGGCAAATATTCAAGCATAAAGAAACATCAATCGCAATAAAGCTAACTTGAATGATACAAAGAGTTGACATAAGGAAAAACAAAAATGTTGAAAACAGTGCGCTTACCACTGTCAGAATTAAAAATCCATGCGTTGTCAATATTGGAGATGCTATTGAATTCCAGAAGTAACTTAGACTGATAAGCATATTCTTCCTCAGTCATATTATCCAAACCCAGTGGCGTTTCCTTAGGTGCATCAGCTTTTGCACCATCCATTGCTAAAACTACCCGAAATCTTTTACTGAAATTGCATGACCAAAAATTTGATATCAATAAACAAGGACGGTTATATACCGTGTCACTTAAACGATGCATATATATATCATGACAACGCCACAATCTAAATGCCCTGACAGGAAAAAGACAATAAACAATAAATTCTCACATCATAATGAAGGAAGGACAAAGTAAGAACATGCATTTCAAAATAATCAAACAACCAAAAAAATGTGATAAAAAGATGGGTTAAACTTGAAAGCATCTTTTTTTGGTGAAAATTATCAAAGAAAATTAACATAAATAAAAGGAGCAATATTGCGCTGAGCAGTTTATGAATGAAGAAATAACAAAAATACAAAAGCAAGCATAACCGAAATAAGTGGCGGACACACTTTGCTTCAACCGCTCTATTTATAACTTATCAACAGTATGGCTTGTTCTTCAAACTCCATGGTCCATGCAACACCCAAGGTTCACAAATAGTTTTCTTTATAATTTTGTGATCCTATACAAAATAAAAATGATAATTTTAGATATCTGGATTGAACCAAATGAGATTAGTTCATCAAAATAATACTAACAATCCAGTTAAAAAATAATAGATTTCTTCTTAGTCTACTGCGCTGAAAAAATTGTTACAATCTAACCGGAAGTATTGCAATGTCTAGTCCATCGATTTCGATAGGGGGTATAAAATTATATTTCTAATGTTTTTGCTTTATCCTGCCGTAAAAAATAAAGCGGCCTGACCAGAGCGCATTTGGCTCTCTAAAATAACACTCCTATAATAATCAACTCTATTCTCCGCTTATCTATTAGTTGTGATGAATCAGCGATTTTAACGCTGTCCGAAACAAAAACAAGCTGCAGCCATTCAGTGAGATGCGGAAAGACAAATGAAGGGCATATACGTATGACGCTATAATCGGCAATCAATATATCAATTCAAAGTTGAAATCAAAAGTTCATCCTGAAACATACTTATGAGTAGAGAGCAAAGTAGTAATTGGGGGGGAGAGAGACAGAGACAGAGAGAGGAGACTCACGAGAGCGAAGAGACGCGTTTAAAAGGAATGGATCGATGAGATAAACGAGTAGGGAATCGCGGCGAAGGCACGCTAATAGAACAATGCCTGGTGCTGAAGTGTAGTATCCTCACTGCCATGTAGATATTTACACGTCCTCATACTTTCATGGAATTTGTAATTAAGTCCTCATAGTTTTGTTTTTATCAATCAACTCCTTGTTGATTTCTGTCACAGCCTTTCGTCCCTGAAGAACTGAAAACAAAACCAAGGACCAACGCTGAGTTAGCCGGAGCTTCTGAATCTGAAGATCAAGCGGAAATCGTGCGATGAAGACGATAAGGGCATAAAGCAGCTAGATCGACTGAGATAGAACCCGAAAAAGACTCCGTAGTTTAAAAATCCATCTTCGAAAGTCCAACTTGCCGGAATTTCTTGATTCCTTCAGGAGATTGTCTTCCTTCTCTAGTTCTGAGGCTGCAGAGTATTGGTCTCTATCTTACCTTCTCGTTAAACGATAACAAGGATAGTCCACAAATATACATCCGAATTAGCTGTCTTGCTCAGAAATATCAATATGCTTTGGATGGTGAAAGGTGGAGAAGAGGTCCAAGGGATAGTAACAACAAGTGGTGTGACAATGTGGCATGCAAGCCTCCATTGTTGTGTGCTGACCCTTCACTTCACCCTTCCATCCTTCAATGTCTAGCTCTGGTCGCGGACGGATGAAAGCGTTTTTTCCCTTGGCGTGATACTAGCATCTCAAATATCGTGGACCTGAGCACTCTCTTTTTCTCTGCCTGTGTCTGTCGCTCACCCAGATTTAATTTTCCTGCATATTTTCTAGCTTAACATATAGGAGGGAAGCAAGAAACATATCTTGTGCAATTATAAGTGGGTATTTAGGTTAACTTCTTGAAAATAATTTGAAAAAAAACTGTCATAAGAACACTTTTTATCACATACTGCAAGGGAGTGTTAACCAAACTATGTTTGGAAAATAGTTTTTGAAAGAAAAGTTATTTTTGAAATTTTTTTTTGAAAGAATATATTTTGTGGAAAAAAATGGTTTTGATAAAATAGGAGTGTTTAGATAGTTGTTATTAGAAGTATTTTTTTTTCATATACAAATTACTAAAAAAACATAAATTAATATAATAATTATATAAAAGGTAGATTTTACTTTATATTTTTATTTGAAGCAATAAATTTGTTAATAATATTTTTTATCAACATAATAAATAATATATAAAAATATAATTAATTAATAATTAATATGCATATATATATTCTTCTGGTTTTAAATATAAAACCCTTATACTTGTGTGTATAAATGGTGTGACAATGTGACATGCAAGCCTCCATTGTTCTGTGCTGACACTTTACTTCACCCCTCCGTCCTTCAATGTCCAACTCTTGTCCTAGATGCATGAAACTAGCATCTCTCAAATATTCTGGATTTTGGATTTGAGACTAAACATTTTTTTCCCTATTTGTCTCTTCACTCACTCAGATTTAATTTTCCTACATATTTTCTAGCTTAACCTGTAGGAAGGATCTTGTTCAATTGTAAGTGGATATTTGAATCTATATAACCTATAAACCTTATAGAGGTTTTGTGATTGGTCCATGTGACAGTCTTAAGAGGTGGTTTTTTTCCCCTCCCATCTAGTTGGCTGTTGATTGTTTACGTGGATGGTTATTAAATTAAGATGAAGTGGCTGATTAAGTGTCTTGATATAGATGTTTCGGTGGCACATGTATAGATATATATTCTTAGAACTTAAAAGGCCTTATTTTGGGGGGAGGGGAACTATCTTAGAAAATGAGGAGGCCTTGAATCACTTGTGGAATAATACAAAGAATTACATAATTACTTGCACTCTTTTCAATATTTTTAAAGGGAAAGAGACTATGAATTAGTATCTAGAGTGATGAAAATGAAAAGGCTTTAAATCACTTTGTGAAATTTAGATAACTCTGAAAATCACTAACTTATCATCTCTTGCTCATTGTGTCTCTCTCTTTTCAATACAGGGGATTTATCCCATCTCTTCTCTTATGAAAACTCAATCATTTTCCCATTACAACCTTTGTTTCTTGTGGAGTTGCATTTAGCATTCTTATAATCTTATTTCCATTATATAAAGACCATTCTACCAATCTCATTTCCTCCGCACCGTATTCCAGTTCTCCACTTTGGTTTTCTCAGCACCAATCTATTCATTAACATGGTATTATAAGTTTTCAATTTTCCCTCAATTTGATCTTCTCACTTCTAAGCATAGTCATGTCCATAAAGTTTTCACCTCTTGATTTATCTTCCTTTTTTTTTTTTCCCTAGATTTGGAGATCGGTTCTCACCAGTGGCACCATCACGATCATCGCAGTTTATCTGTAATCTACAGCTCTCAAAAATTCCTCAATTGAATAATCATTATGCAAGTGAGCTTACCATACCTCTCAAGTTTTAAGTGTTAGGCCCTGATTATGATAAATGTACTGTCTCCGAAAAGGGGTGTCAGAGGTTTTCTTATCACTGAGACCTAAACGTTTGAATTCGCTGGTTGGTGGAGGTACTTATGAAAACTTAAGGTACTATTGATTAGTTCTTAAATTTTCTGGACATTGTTATTAGTGAGAAGATGCAATATGATTATTTATTAAATTTGGCACCAAGTATTTGTTACATTTATTGAAGAATATTCAACGCCCTCCATTTAATAAGATTTATTTTTTCCTCTTTTCTACTCACTTCATCATAAGGGATTTCAAATGTTATGGTTTCTTTCAATTTTCGGGTGTGAAAATTGCACAACTCAAAAAATTAGAAGACAAATTAGCACATGAAAAATAAAATCAGGGTCAAATTTTTGCCTTAATCCTTTTAAATAAATAATGGATTACTGACAAATACAAAGCGCGAATGCTAAACTATGATGTCAAACCCAAAAGAACTTTATCATTTTTTCATTGAAATTTAATTGACATCAAGAATATCGAGAATTTACTAAGCAGGGTCATCAAAAGAAAGACAGCAAAAAAAAAAAAACTAAAGAACAAACTATTCCCAAATTGGCATTTCGAAAGGAAGGGTGAAATCAAGCCTTGAATTAACATGTAGGGAAGGGAATTTTATAATGTAAAGTAATTAATTAAATACAGAAAGAAGATGAGTCTCAACGATCTTCTTAAATTTGAATTTTTAATCTCAAATGAAGAGAATGTTGAGATTCACATAAAGATGATGTATAAATATTTCAAATTAATAATTGCATTTGAATTCAGGATTTAAACATGCCCTTCAAGGTCTGCAGATATAACAAAATCTGTTAAAAAAAAAAGAACCTGTTCTTAAAAAAATCAGAGGGACAGCAAAATTCTTTAAAAAAAAAAAGACTATACATACGTTCAAATTAAAATAATCATTAAATTGTAATATTAGCATATAAACAATCTCTTTATATTGTAAATCTCAACAATCCTAAATCAAGCCTTGAACTCCCCAAAACAATATTAATTATCACTATTTAGTTTTTTTAAAGAATAGATTAATAGGTAAACAAATAAATAAAAAAATATTGATTAAATCAGATTGGTAATTGTTATCCGAGTTTTTATCAAAAATAGTATTGTGCTCTTGAAATTAATATTTTAGATTTTTGAACTATGATAATAATTCACATTTCGAAAAGAATGATGCAATCCAGCTTCAAACTCCCCAAAATAACATTAATTATTGCAATTTAGTTTTTAGTTTTTTGAAAATCAAGTAACAAGTAAATAAGTAAACAAAAAAAAAAAAGATTGAATCGTTTTCTGATAGGATAAGAGTGAAACTTATGGAAAGAGAAAAAATTAACAAGTAAACAAATAAATAGAAAACTATTGATTGACTTGGGTCTCTGACAAGATAAGATTAGAACTTATGGGAAAAAGACACATACTTAAAATATACTCTCCGACACTATTTATAAGCTTCAAAATTCTAATCTTATTTATAATGCACTTCCAGCATATTTCACATAACAAAAATAGTGGAAATAGTGGAACAAGACTATAAATTATCTTACTTGGAAGACACTTCATCAAAACAATCACATTAAATGCGACAAGTAAGGATGAAGAAGTGTTAATTCACATAAGGGACCTTAACCCATAAGAAACCAGGCTTCCATTTTCAATGACTAAAAGACAACTTCTGGTAATGGTGTCATTTGTTATGACAATTAACAAAAGTCAAGGACAATCAATGGAAAGGGTAGGGTTTTATCTACTTACACCGATGTTCTCACATAGACAATTTTTTGTAGCACTATTAAGGATAAAAAATAGTGAAGGCTTGAAGTACTGGTACTAGACATAGAAAAAAAAAAGCCAACAAACTGAACAATAAATGTTGTCTACAATTAGGTTTTTCAAAATGTCATTTTGATTTGACACACAAACACTAATAGTGAGTTCTTCTAATGTAAAAAGTCTTAATAATTAGTTCTTCTAATAAAAAAAAGTCTTGCTTCAACACGTAATACGGCGTTTAGTTAATATTTTAAAAGTGATTTTATTCTGAGTAAAAACTTAAAATGTTCACATTAATTCAAGTTTAGATTGTCACTCTGTGTTTGTAGAATTGTCGAGTAAAAAAACATACGTTGACAATTTATTTCGATTCAATTAGCAAGTTAGATTGTTCCAAATTAAAACTTTATTGTGGCCCAATTGAAAAGTTAGGATGCAGTATAAAATGACAAAATGACAATTTGTGTAAGCACAATCAATGATACTTAAAATACTGTTCCGCGGAGCCACTTCTTAGGTGGCTTATGATCGGCTACAGATACAATTTACTGTTCACAAGCCGGAACAGTAATTTACTAATAAAATATTGCTTCCAATGGCTGCGTGCTAGCTGCATCGTGTACAGTGCCAGCTAATCTAACCAAGTATGGCTCATTGTCTTGCTTATAAATACACACACCAGTTACTATTCCATGGAGCCACTTCTTAGGTGGCTTATGATCGGCTACAGATACAATTTACTGTTCACAAGCCGGAACAGTAATTTACTAATAAAATATTGCTTCCTATGGTTGCATGCTAGCTGTATCATGTACAGTGCCAACTAATCTAACCAAGTATGGCTCATTATCTTGCTTATAAATACACACACCAGTTACTAGGATTTCATAGTCTCAAAGGGTCGTTAGTTGGAATCAGACAGGTGTGCGTTACCAATGGAAAAAAGTGAGTTATGATAGCCATGCATGTTTTTATTAACTTTTTGATCATATTGCACGTTCCTATTTTATTTCTATTTCTTTATTCCACCAGCTCCTTATTTCTCTACTGAGCAAATGACACAAGTTATACCCAAGTCATACTTGTCTCAACTGAAGCTTGGGGTAGCAAACGTGTGGGTTCACATCCAGGTTGATCGCCTGTTGACTAGGGATGCCATTGAACTGGTTGGTCCTGATGATCGCTGTATGAAGCAGATTATGTCTATCGACTTTGTTATTTTTGATGAGAAGGTATTTCACATGGTGACATTGACATGTGTTTTATGGTGTTGTGTCTCATGTTGTTCATGTTATATGTCTGTTAGGGAACTCGGATGCTGGCAACTTTAAAGACTGAACAAAGCAAGGAATTTTTTAGCTGGAGACTTGTGGAGGATGGTGTTTATGACATCATGGACATGCGTGTGTGTCTTGGAGGTGAGGGAGTTCATAAGCTATATCATCTGGAGTTGCTGGATACATCTATCATGTTTGATTCATCTAAACCATTGCCAAGATGCCCTTTGAATCTCAAGGCAGCATCAGATATTACCTGGGGAATGATTGAGCATGAAGGTTTTGTTGGTAAGAAGACGGTACTCCAGATATATGGCCCTTTGTGGTTTGTTTTTTTTCTTCTTCATGCATTAATTGGTTATTATGCAGATGTTTGTGGATTTATTAAGTATATGTCAAACGTCTGTATAATGAAGTTCAAAGGTTTCTATGAGAAGGAAATGGTGATCATGCTTGAGACTTGTATGAGGAAGTTCCCTTGGTTAGTCATTTGTAAACAAAAACTAAACTGAAGCCTCAATATGATTATACTTTAAACCATGTGTCTATGCCAAACAAAAACATAACTTTCTTCTTTTGGCTAGGTGCAAAGACCAAGTCATGTGTATATTGAGAGGTAGATGGGTTGAAGAAGTGAGGAAGCATTATGACTCACTAGAGAATAAGAGTAATGCGTTTGTGGTAGTGCAGTACGTGATGAGTGCATGGCCGTCTAACATTGGTATGTATTTCATACTGTGGACTATGTTGCTGTGGTAAGTAATATTTTAATAGGCTTTTAATATTGAATTGGAGGTCATTTAAGGTTGCCCCATTAAGATCTCTTACAACGATGCAACAAGGGTAATCTTTGATCCACCGTACCCTGAGGTTCAGAGGCTGAAGGAGCTTATGCTGATGCAGTGATGGATAACTTGATATCATGATGTTATGTATGCCGGGTGGAATTAATATTATGTACTATGTATTTTCTTTTAGCATAGTTGGTGCCTAGGCTAGACTTATTTTAAGTTATTATGGTTATGTAATGAGAATCCACCTTACCTTTAGTTTCAGAGGCTGAAAAAACTTATACTACTACATTGATGGGAAAAGTTCCATGCTAATGTTATGTACGCCGAGTGGAATAGTTAGCTTAGTGAGTGCTTAGGGTTGGTCTTATTTTCAATTATTATGGTTATGTAATGAGTATGTCTATGTGGAGGATGTTATTGTCAAGTTCCACTTCGAACTTTAATTTTATCCATGTCAATAAATATTAGCAGTATCTCTTGTCGTATCATTCAAGTGTAGAAAAGGTAAATGAATGCTTGATATGAGTAGATATAAAGTTACAGACATATTAATACTTGATAATATATAAAGTTGAGATGAGAATTGATGGACTGAAGAGTGAAGCTTCAATATGAGATACATACTAAGACGTGATAATGAAAATAAAATCATGCACTACAAAGAAGAGTAACTAAGACCTGGTATAAGTGGTAACTAAGTAAATAATAGGTAAATAGTTCAACTATCATCGTCAAAGGGTTGAGATGAGAATTGATGGACTGAAGGGTGAAGCTTCAATATGAGATACATACTAAGACGTGATAATGAAAATAAAATCATGCACTACAAAGAAGACTAACTAAGACCTGGTATAAGTGGTAACTAAGTAAATAATAGGTAAATAGTTCAACTATCATCGTCACTTGACACAAATCCTAATTGTGGATCGAAATGGCTTGCATTTGGTAGTGTATGAATATTGTTAGAACCCGTAACGTTTGTGCTCACCCCAATGGTCGTATCTGCTTCTGATTGTCTATTTTCTAATGTCCAAACACTCACCTGACCTGTACTCCACCTTGTGCGTCTTCACATTATTGGTTTGATCTTCTTGTAGCTTTGTCGATCGAGATCGTAGATAGTTAGCTCTTCATAGTTCCTCCATGGTATTTTCACTCGTATGAATGGCGTCTGTTCTTGAATGTAGGCCCTCCACCCTTGGTAGTATCTGAAGTCATACATGTCGGCCTCTTCCAATTCATCTGAGTAAAATCCTTCCGTACGTATCACCCCATATATGTGCTTTAGTAGGAGATATCTATCATCATACCATCTGAAAGATCCCACACGAACTCGCTGGCTACATGATAACCATGTGGTGGTCTTTGCAGTTATATCATCTACAGTTACATGAATGCGAAGTGGTCCACACTTAATCCTAAGGTAGGCCACTCCTATGCTATTCCAACACCTAAGGAGGTTGAAGAACTCCACTTCAAGGAAATTGTTGATCTCACTCATTCTTCTAGTGGATATTTTCAGGAGAAACAATCAATTTCATTTCCACGTAATGTAGAGGAGGCTATCCTGTGTTTAAGTAATGGCAGAAACGGTCAGAATAATTTAATGAGGATTTTCGTGATGTGCATTTGCAGTCATTGTATTCAATTTGTGCAGTTATGTACAGCTTGGATGGCTTATGAAGTGACATTAAGAAGTCTGTGTTTGGTCAGATGATTGCTTGCGTTATTTTTATGTTCCTTTCAGTCTGTGTCTGGTTAGAATCGAACTACATGTTGTTAGGAAGTAATTATATGCATTGCATGTTTATTCAATCTAAATTAAACGGTGGAGCAGAGTTTGGTCTTTACTGACACAATATTGCATGAACTGTAAAAGTAGCCAAGCAATTTAAATTAAAGTTTCTGTAATTACAGCTAATGTTTGCAGTCAGTGTAAGGAGACGACAACCATAATTAATTATGAGTCATGTAAATGGTAAGTTCGAGTGCGCCATTTCACTCATTTCATTTATATCTATTTGAAAAAGGAAAGGTATGATGTGATTTGTTACCACAGCAGCAGTAGTATTTTTGTAAGACAAGTAGTGCCAAAATACACATGTTGACAATATTGATTAGGAGTAGGGCAAAATGGGACGAAGGTATGCCTACCTTTTAAGGTCTGATGAGAAAAGTATGAAGACAGAATAGACAGCTTTTTGTTCCAGGTGTTGAGGCCAGATGCTTTTTCTTCATACGAAAAATCGCATGCAAATGAGATTCGACTTTATTACTCATATATCCCATCATGTCAATTTACACATGTTTGAAGTAGGCAAAGTTTGAACATGCTTGAGACTAACATATCCCTTTAATATAAGAGCAATGAAGGAAGTCCACTATAATTAGTGTATTGTGGTGAACATTTTGACTGATTATTTAAACTTTCTTATAAATTAATTATTTCCTAACGAAATATACTAAAAAATATATACTATCATCAAGTTGTTGAATTATTAATTTTGAATTGGGAAAAATATATAAAACCTAAAAATGATAGAGTATATATAATTTTATTAACATGAAATCTATATCAACTAATGAACCTCTTAATTTAAAATTGATATCCAGGTAAAAGTATATCTGACTTTTAATATTAAAAGGACTTTGAGTTCCAGTAATACACTTATTTTGGGGGTGGATTATTTTCAATAATACATTTGTTAGTAGTAATTTTAGACAGTGAGTAGTGGCAAAATACACATGCCGAGATATACAGGTATAATATATAGGTGATGATAACTCTTCTTATTATTGTTTTAGAATATTATCAACTTTTTTTGATATCATATAAACTATGTGCAGAGATATACACAATTGAATTTCAAAAGAGGGGTTTGCCACATGCACATATTTTGTTATTTCTTTCTCCAGAAGATAAGATGAAAGATGTGAATGCAATTGATCGTGTTATTTGTGCAGAAATACCAGACTATGATTCTGACCCTATCCTAGATGAATTAGTTAAAAAGTACATGTTTCATGGACCATGTGGGACAAGCAACCCAAAGTCGCATTGTATGAAAGATAAAAAATGTTCGAAATACTTCCCTAAGAAGTTTATTAGACACACAATGGTCGATGACGAAGGTTATCCTAGCTATAGACGAAGAGATAATGGGCGAGCTATTGAGGTTAAGGGAGTTAGATTGGATAATAGGTATGTCGTACCATATAATCCAACATTGGTTCGAATGTTCAATGCACATATAAATGTAGAGAAATGCAATCAGTCAACTGCTATAAAATATCTCTTCAAGTACGTCAGTAAAGGGAATGACAAAGTTGTTGCTGCAATATTTGATAATGAAGGTGATAATAATGAAAGCGTACATGATGAAATTAGATAGTACTATAATTGTAGATATATTTCTGCATGTGAAGCTTCATGGCGTATATTTGGATTTAGTATTCACCATAGAAATCCTTTTGTTGAGAGGCTAAGTTTTCATCTACCAAATCAACAAAATGTTATTTACTCAAATGAAGAGGATGTCACTGAGTTGCTAGACAAGCCAAGAGTATCTGAATCACAGTTCATATCATGGATTCTTATGAATAAGTCTGATGTTTTTGCTAGGACATTGATGTACACTGAATTCCCTAATCACTATGTTTACCAAAAGAACAAAAGGGCTTGGAAGAAGAGGAAAAAAGGATATGCGGTTGGTAGGATGACGCATGTGTCACCTTCATCTGGTGAATTATATTATCTCAGAGTTTTATTGACCAAAGTAAGAGGTCCTACTTGCTTTGAAGATATAAAGATAGTGAATGGAGTAACGTATGACACATTTAGGGATGCATGTTTTGCATATGGTCTACTAGATGATGACAGTGAGTATATATCTGCTATTAAAGAAGCTTCTGTTTGGGCAAATGGGTCACAGCTCTGAAAATTATTTGCCAATATGCTTCTATGCTGTAGTCTTCAACGACCACATTATGTCTGGACTCAGACAGCCAAACTTATTTCTGAGGACATGTTTTACATTCCTCGAAGTGATCCAATTTATGCATGTAAGTGTTATTCTATTTGTTGAATTAGGAAATTAGGAAATTAGTTTGTTTAAATTTGTGTACAATTAATTTAGGATTCTTATGTTTACATAAAGTTAATTATTAATATCAATTATCTCCATGCAGGCATTAACATAAGTGATATAGAGAAGGAACAAGCTGCTCTTAAAGAGATCGAGACTTTTCTTCGCCAAAATGGTAAGAGTCTTGAAGACTTCCCTTTAATGCCTGTACTTCCAGAGGTTGAACCAATTGATGTAACCAATCATCTTATTATGCAAGAGTTGAGTTATGACAAGCAAGCTTTGCAAGTAGAAGCAAGTCAACTGGCTAAGTCACTTAATACTGATCAGAAAGAGATATATGATAAGGTTATGAGTTCGTTAGACCAAGTTAATGGTGCTTTCTTTTTTGTATATGGTTGTGGTGGTACTGGGAAGACATTCTTGTGGAATGCTTTGACTTCATCATTGCATGGTAGAGGTGATATTGTATTAACAGTTGCATCTAGTGGAATTGCAGCTACCCTATTACCATCAGGCAGGACCGCACATTCAAGATTTGTTATCCCTATTCAAGTTAATGAGTTATCTATTTGTGGGATCAAGCAAAACTCTCCACTCACTCATCTACTTCAAAAGACAAAACTAATCATATGGGATGAGGCTCCAATGGTTCAGCGGTATTGTGTTGAAGCCGTTGACAGAACATTACAGGATATTATGCATTGCACATCTCCATTTGGAGGTAAATGCATCATTATGGGAGGTGGGAGGTGATTTTCGTCAAATACTACCTGTTATACCAAAAGGATTAAGAGCAAATATTGTTGATACATGCATCAATTCTTCTCCATTATGGCAACATTGCACCATATTCAAGTTAACAAAGAACATGCGGTTGTCTTCATCATCAATATCAAACACAGAAGAAAAATTAGTATGGTTCTCACAATGGTTGTTGAATGTTGGTGATGGAAAAATAGGTGTTTCAGATGATGGTTCTGCTAAAATTGAAATCCCATTTGAACTATTGATACAACATGGTAATGATCCTATACATGCCATTGTTGAGTCTACTTATCCAAGAATCATGGATAACTTAGATTCAAAGGAATATTTCAATGACAGAGCGATTTTAGCCCCAACGATTGAGATCGTTAATATTATTAATGATCATATGTGCAAGTCTCTGCCTGGGGAGTCATATGAGTATCTTAGTTATGATTCTGTGTGTAAGACAAATGATAACAGCGACAGCTTTGACAATTTATGCACGACAGAATTTCTTAACACTATAAGTAGCTCAGGCATGCCTCCTCACAAGTTAATATTAAAAGTTGGTGCTCCAATAATGTTGCTTCGTAATATTGATCAAGCTTTAGGATTATGCAATGGAACACGTCTTCGTATATCTAAGCTATGTAGATCAGTTATAGAGGCTATTACTTTAAATGGGTGCATGCCTAATCAGAAGGTCCTAATTCACAGGATGGATATGAATCCTTTAGAAAATAGATGGCCATTCCGCATGCAACGAAGGCAATTCCCCATAACCCTATCTTTTGCTATGACAATCAATAAAAGTCAAGGGCAATCACTGCGACATGTAGGGTTATACCTAAGGAAGCCTGTTTTCACACATGGTCAATTGTATGTTGCATTATCCAGGGTGAGAAGTATGGATGGGTTGAAGATTTTGGTTAGTGATGAAGTTGAAGGTCAAGTGAAAACAACTACAAATGTGGTTTACAAAGAAGTGTTTAGGAATGTGTAGATTGTGAAGCATGTGTTTGATGAATTTCATGTTCAATGTGTGTTTATGTTCGTGATTTGTATTTGTTGAAATTAAATGAATAATGCATAGCATGCAAACAATCCACGTGACATAGATGTAGAATTTTAGATGTCTTAAGTGAAATTTTACTTAAAATTTTACATCTCTTATATTGAATGCTGTACATATCATGTACCATATGTTATGTTTAATTAGTATGAAGAAGTAGATCCAATTCTCGTGAGGAATGCTCCCTGTGCATAGCACGGGTAACAGATGCTAGTTGACAAGTAAAGAAGAAGGGTGTTGAGGGAAAGATGATCAATTCCTCAAAAATCCTTAAAACTTGAGATTAATTTGAACATTTTAAGGTATTTTCTAGTAATAAAATCTCTTATTTAAAACTAAGTGTAACCCTAATTTTTAATCGAATTTTATGTCCATTGCTTAGCCCTCTCATATAGAGTCATATTGCATCTGCCATACGTAAAGTTCACTCCTTCCCGGAATATCCTCACCGTCTGTTTCATCTAAGAGTCTCCTTGTGCCACGTGTCACTAGATTAATCTTTGATAAATCATCAATTTTCCTTTTTCTTTTTGTTTCCTCGCCATCAAATGTTTTCTTACCTCTATATTATGGTTAACACTAACTTTGGTCCTTTAAATTTATCATCATTTTGGTTTTGGTTCTTTAAGTTTCTTTTCATTTAAAATATTGACTCCTACAATCAAATAAAAATTTAGACCATTTTACCCTTTGAGGGATCAAAATTTATAGTTTGAAATTTGAAAGATTAAAACCAAAATAAGGACAAACTTGATAGGCTAAAGATTATATTAATCCTATAATATACCATCCATTTATGTTATAGTACTGTCCTTTTTAGAAGACACAATTAATTAAATTATGTTGTTCAAAATGTTGGTTAAAATTAGTTGAAGAAAATAAATGTGTAAAAAAAATGTAACTTTTTGCCAAAAATACCCTGATTTATCTGAAAGAGAGATAATGTGTTAAAAAAAAAGAATATATGAGAATTAAATGCAATGACATGAGTAATATGAATAATAAAATGATGGTAAAAAGAGAAATTAACAAACAAAATTTGAGACAAGTTGTAAGTGTCTATTATTAAAAACAACATGACATACTCCACAACTATCTTCTATAAAAAAGAACGGGGGGAGTGGTATTATACTTTTTATAACTAATAAATGTATATCGTAGATTTTATACCAACATCAACATTGATATATAAGTTTATTCGTAAGTTATACGTAACTGCAACTTATTAAAATATCTTATGAGAACTCATCTAATTTATATATTGATTTATAGTAAATCAGAGGAAAAATTATTCATAGGTTATAAGTAAGAAAAATTAAATATAAGCAGATCCTCAAATTTCATTTAATATTAAATTCATTTACAAGTCGAGTTGTATCATTTACAAATTAATGTTTGTAAATCAAAGTGTTATACTTATAAGTCGAGTTGCATCATTTACAAATTAATGTTTACAAGTCAAATTTTTATATTTACTTTACAAGTTGAATTGGATTATTTACAAACCAATCCTCTAATTATGAAATTCATTGAGACTTGTTAAATAAAATTCAGGAGACTTTTCTGTATTTAATTTTCTTAAGTAGGATGTACTAGGGATTTTTCCTAGATCATACTATTTACAAGCTATTTCTTATGGTTTAATTTTATTATGCAATGTACAAGAAACATGTTTAATTTGATGGCGGAAAATACATTTAACCATCGCTTTGAAGTTGGTCTCACCAATCTAGTTCGTATGAGCCTCTAACTAACCCGACAAAGGTAAGAAGGAACTGTGACTACTTCTGTAATTCTGCATGATTCTCTCTATTAAGTGGACAGTCCACTGTAATGATGTTATCACTATCTTGGGATACGAGGCCATGGCCAAGAGCTGTACAAAAGAAAAAGATCTATTCATACCAGCAAGCGAGATGTTTCTATAGGTTAAAAGAGAATGTCTTATAATCAGCGTCAACAAGATGAATTTAGTAAGCAAGTCATTCGTAGTTCACAATCAAAGATGAAATTCTTAGATTTATGAAAGGCCAACAATTACAAAAACATAAACCAAGGATGTTTTTATTAACCACGAAGAAAAATTGGGAGCTCGAAAATAATTAGATACTGTGTTAGTTTCAACCATGCGTACGATTAAATTTGATAAATTTTGAAAGTATAAATTAACCTATATCATCAAAATTTAATACTATTTCTAGTATTTAGTATAAAAGCTGGATAATTTATTTGGAGATATTAAATAAATTAAATAAATTAGTTATTTATAATAAATGTGTGTTGGCTTCCTTAAACTATTTTTTTTAAATCATATGCATTGAAATTACTTATTGGTTGGAATCTCTTATAATTAATAGGTATATCTTTCCGAGGAAATTATAAATTTTAGAGACAAAATAGATTGAGATATTATATTTAGGATCAAATCTAACCCCAACTAGATCTAATTGATTAGGCTATGTTTAGATTAAGGGAAAGTGGGAGGAAAATAGGGGACATGGAATACAATGGAGGAAAACTTTCAAAAATAGTAAAAACATCTACTATTTTAGGGAATTTTCTTTCATAGTATTTTTTTTCTTCCCTAATTTTTTTTTTCCATCCAAACATGACTTTCAATTTTATGATAACAACTTCATCTATCTATCATACGTTTGATTCAAGGTTTTCTAATAGTGTTTGATTTTCTTAGTAGCCTGTGCAATACTTGAATACCTTTTCATTTGCAGAACTTCTTGAACCACACCCCAATGCTAAGAAAGCATTCGAACTCAGGCTGTGGTCTGTAAAGAGAAGCCACAACATCAAATATAGTTTCCATTCATTGATGATTAATTTTACCAACAGAAATATACCAGGTGATTTTTTCCCTCCAAAAGATAAACAAATAAATAGAAGGTAAGGTGTCTGATCCAGGGATTTTTTTTTTTACTTCGATTCATCCATCACAGTCACAAATTAAGTAGGAAGATTTTCTTTATTATAACTTACTTTAATATAAACATAGCAGTTACATATTTTCTACGACTGATACCACATTAAGTTTAGAAAAACATTTCATCTGAGTGTCATGTTACAATTGGAAAGCGTGATAGCAAAGATTTGACGTAAATGATCTAAGTACGGTTCATAAAAGATTATGATTTTGATTTCTAGCTCAAAGAAAACAAATTATGATCATGATTCTGTACAGTAGCATGACAGAGGTTTATGTGGGATTTAGCTACCTTTGAAGCGCATGAACATCCTTAGGAAACATAATGATTTTAACCTCAGCTTCTTTCTCCTTCAAAGCTCGAGCATACTGCCAAAAAAATAGGATTGAGCATGAAAAGTTATTATTGTGTTCCTACTTTTAAGTAAAGATAAATAGAAGTTTAGACCATAGGATCAACATTGCACAAAATTGGAGAAGGACTAAGGAAAATAAAAATGGTCAACTGTTAGCTTTTCCTTCAATTTTCAGACTTTTTTTTAAAAAACAAAATTCTAGATTAAGGGAACTTGAAATATATAAGAGGGAAGATTGGGAGGAGTTTAAAATGTCAGCAGAAAATCATTCACTATCCTCCTTAAATAGTGGAAAGTACATTTTACCTCTTTAGACTGAGGCATAATAAAAAATTGGCACGAAATGTGAGGGATTAAAATTAAAGCATTAAATCCCAATTGATTTTTGGAAACTCAAAAGGAACATATAGTAATTATGATGTTTAGTTAAGCCAAGCATTGCAGTTACACAAAAATCAAGAGAGTCAATTAATGTTAAAGTTCTTATGTAACTTATTTGCAATCCGTCATGAATTGGAACACGAAGATCTTGAGCCCCCACTAGGAAAAGCGTCAGTGTCTTCACCTGCAAAAATGTTGAGAAAACAAGTTTAGATGCCAGAAATCCACTGTATGTGACAATGCTAAGTTTCCCACAATGTTATTAGCTCCTTCCAAAGTTGATAGTTCTTGCTACATTTTGACTGGTTTTTTTTTGAAAATTATCTATATATAATACAAAAACTTGAATAAAACACAGTTTTCATAAGATATGTAACTTATTTCTTAGACTCCATGCAACATACAAGAGCTACTCTAGTCACTCTCATATAATGAAACATGACAAGTTTTATAATGACAGAGGAAGTAAATTCAATAAAGCAATACGTGAAACATAATTGAAAGTTTAGATTAGTGGATTTATATTTCCTTTAAGAGGAATTGAATCTAGAGCATAATTTAACAAAAGACCTTTGAGAGGTGTGAAATAGGAGACTTGCTATAAAAGAGAGTCAAATCTTCTGCTGGAGGTGCTTTACTAAAATTATTTCTTGCAATGGTTCCATGGGCCTCAATGTAGCACCAATCCGGCATATCAGTCATACCAACCATTAGTGCAAAGTTACCAGCAGGATTGATAGCTGCTGCTGCGGCAAACTTCTTTGGTGCCAGAAACAATTCAAAACACACACAAAATGAAAAGGATTATAAAAAGCCTAAGTTTTTTTTTAATTACTTGATACAGCTTCCCTTGTTAAGGCCGATGCTGTTATTTTGTGAATCTTATTGATATGAAGTCTAACCGTTCTATCTATCCTACAAAGGACCAGTCCAATTCAAAAGCTTAAACTCATAAGGGCTCATGAATAGCTTTCATAACAATTTTTAATAGCTAAGCTCATATCGAAGTGGTATCAACTTGAAGTGCAAGTAAGCTCATAACAATTCTAGTGTTGTATAACTTTGATGGTCTATTGATAGTTCTAATTAATCATGGATGTTTGCACTAGTTTAGCTGGACAATTAATCTAGTATGTTTGTTTATTTTGGTGATTTGTAATAAATTTATGGTATGTTAGTGTGGCATGCATGAGACTGATATGAACAAATATTACAGAACATATTTTGGCATGCGTGGCGATATGTAAATAAATATTGTG